GAGGGTGCCAAAAAGCTGCTTAAAATGTACACCACATGCAACACTGTGTATGTGGTTTGATGATTCTTTCATTTGCTTGGTATGCAAGGGGATCAGTCATGCTGCCTTCCGGATGCAAAAAAAAAAAAATAAAGTTACTGCCCGCCTAGTTACCTCAAAACAAATAAAGGGATAAGTATAGTCAACTGCTTGGAACAGTCAGGACTGATCTGAGCCAGGATTGTCCTATATAAATATTTGTTCATACCATCAAGTGAGTGAAGCTGTCAACACACAGGGTCTGTAGACAAATCATGCCATGACCAAGGGAGGTTTCTGAAGACCTCCCGATCAGTGGTTCTCAGCTGCTTTAGTCTCAGTACCCATATTTTTCCTTAGTCATTAACTCACAACCCAAATCTATAAAATTTTGTGCCAAATTTGTTTCACAAAAAACAGTACAATTGACTGACTGTGCAGCAGTAATAGATAGAACAGCAGTAGAAATGTCTTCATACACTGTCAAAAAAATGAAAAAACGATAGATAGATAGATAGATAGATAGATAGATAGATAGATAGATAGATAGATAGATAAAAGTAATTTAACCACATTCCACGATCCAATGAAAATAGCCCCACGACTCCCTTTGGGGTCACGACCCACCAGTTGAGGAACAGTGTTGAAGGAACCTGTTGTGTCCTAGAAAGTGTCATGTTTCCCTGTGACTCACCAAACCGCAATCAGTACCACATTGGAGAATGTCAACAGTGAGTCATCTCTGGAGTGGTCATCCTATCAAAATCTTTCCCATGGACCTGGATGATTCGCCATCACTAAAAAAACAATAAATTTTGCCTGTGAATCAGGAAATTCCAGAGAAGATTTCAGTCCGTCAACTGAAGCTGAAGCAGAGCTGAGTCATGAAGCAAGACGATGACCTGGAACACATTAGCAAGCCTACATCAGATTAAAGCTTGAGAAACGTTAAGTTTTCAGCTGGCCAAATCAGCATTGAGACAAAAACCCCATTCTGATGTTGTGAAAGGACCAGAAGTGAGCAATTCAAGCCAGCAAACCCAAAAAAGTCACTGATTTAGAAAAAGGAGTGGGATGGTATTCCTCAACAGTGCTGCTACAGACTGAACAAAAGCTACCAACAGGAACCGTCTGGGTGCAGTCAATGCTACCATAGGTGGTATAACCAGTTATGCAGTGCCACTGACTGGTTACCTTTTTCCACTTTAAGCACTGGATATTATAGAACTGTTTTTACTTAAAATGTCATCAGTACATCAGTAAATTTCTGTCAGGTTCTAGTTCATCTGATGTTTATTTTTACATCCAGGGTCAAAACTACTACACGTGTACTTCATTGTGCGTTGTATTTTACATTTACTTGACATGTGCTGTGTTTTGTTGATTGATAATCAGCAATGATACAGGAGCCTTATAACACAGACATGCGAATCAAACGAAAGTACAATTACATCATTTAATTACATGAAATTAAATTACATTAACTAGCTGACCGATGGACTCTGATGATGCCCACGGTTCACACCAGGCTTTACTGGGCAGCCAGTTGACCTTGGACCCCAGGAGGTTTTCCTTTCCTGGAGCTTTTTGTTCCTCCCCTGTTTTTCTCCATCATTCCTTCTTTCCCTCATCCCTCTTCACGCGCTATTTCGTATAAATGATGTAGTAATGGATTGCCACACACTCTTGTCAAGTGTCTTGGAGTGACTCCATTGTAAAAGACATTATATATAAATAAACAGAACTGCACTAAAGGCAGGGCGGGGTACTGGTTAGTACTGTGACTGTGTATCTCTGGGACCAGGGTTTGAGTCTCTGCCCTGGCACTACCTGTGTGGAGCAGTGGGGGTTTCTCTGGCATCCCCCCCCCCAGTTTAAAAATATGCTAAGGTGGCAGTTTCTGATTTGCATGTGGTTGGTGTCTCACGCCCATAGCTTATGGGATAGGCTCTGGATTCCCAATATGTTGCATAGACAACGTGAGGGTAGATGAATTGAATTTAATATCTTTTACAGCAGCATAGTGGATCATTGCATGTTTTCCCCAGGCGATCGGACAGGGTGAATATTGCCTCTACTGATCTGTCTGCTGGCATCTCGTTCAGGGAGCTCCCAGCCTTCTGTGTCCTGTGCTTCTCTACACAGGTTCCATATCCACTGGAACCCTGTGCCGGATAAATGGCTGTGAGAGACGGATTGATTATTTGATTGAATTGCCTGATATGCGTTGTGACGATGTGCTTTAAATCTCACCCCATGGAAATGATGTGTGACCGTAACAAGAAGAACTCAAACCCATTCACATCACATTGTGAATGTATGCAGCTGTTTGTAAAAACGATAGGAACGAAACGAAGTACCTAAGTCAGTATAAAAAGTGAACACTTGCTGATATTCAATAGATGTGTGATCAGCCATAAAGTGTTTGCCTACGTGGATAGTCTTTTCTGCGTGTTCAGTTTTGCAAATCCAAGCAAGTACTGTAACATTTCAGGAAGTACATTATGACACTGTCATTGTGCTGATTACCCATGGACACCCACAGATCACATGATAACCCCTCCTCCCACCACCCTATGAATTACGAAAGAGCTTTTGTTTGCAAAACATCTGGACACAACACACAGGTTGGAAAGGAACCTAAAAAAATACCTCTGAGGTTCATCAGAATTAATGCCAAAAGCAGTCATTAATTAATCAGTCACAGCTTTTCACAGGATACCCTAATATACTTGCAAGGAGACACAGCTGTTAACGAAATGAACTTCACACCATAAGGCTGTTAGCTGAAGCCTTATAAAGGGTGAAACATGAGCTTGTTTGCTTCACCATAAAAATCAGGTTAATGAATGGATGAGAAGTACAACATCCAGCTTGTAAGACAAACAACGGGCCTGATAAGGTGTCAGTAAACGCAAAAAGCAGAGTCATAAAATGGAAACACCGTCTGTATTGTAGGTCCCCATTAGAATGCAGACTCCACCCAGTTAAACCCGTTTGAAAGTTGCAGACAGTTTTCAGATAAGTTTGTTACCACCACACACGCACCAACATAAGGGCTGAGTGATACCAAAACACAGCTATACCGTTTTGTTTTGTTTCGCGTAAGGGGCATTTTTAGGGGATAACCCAACAAACGTGGCTACAGGTTTCAAATTTTAGCATAAATGAAGAGCACTGCAGTGATGTTGAATTTGAAGATCTTGTTAATGCTGCATTTTTAAACATGTCTATTGCACAACTGTTACCTTTTTCCTGAATTTCATCCTCATCCCGGTCAGGGTCATGGGGGCAGGGTCTGGGTGGACCCTGGACAGGAATGCCAAACCAGAGCAGGGCATTCACACCAACTCTCACCTCGGTGGCTGTGGGAGGAAACACTCGGAACCACATGCAAACCAAATGGACGAAAGCAATATCCAAGCCCCCAGCTCCAGCGGTATGAGGCAACAGTGTTGCACACTTGTCAGTGCACCACCCCAATTTCCCGTAATGATGATGCATATTAACAGAACATGGCGATATATGTGTGTGGAAAAAAAAGGTGTGATATGAGTTACTCTAACGGAAATTATATTTCTCCAGATAACTTTAACTGAATCTCTAAATGAGAAATTACATTTCTGATCATTTCATGTAGGCTATATATATTAGGGCAGCGTATTGTTGCCACCATGACGAAAAATATAATAAAATCCAAATTTGTCATTATCACGTAGTATAACGTTAAAACGATTAACTGGGCAAATTTTATTTTGATCATGGTGGCAAAAATATGCATCGCTGCATTATATTTTAAAACAATATTGGAAGCATAGGTATAACTACGAAAAAGAGCATAAGGATTTTTCCGACAAAGACGTTTTTAAAGCATCTCCCGCTAACTTGCTCCATCTGATGATATATTTCATAACCAGCAGGGGGCGCCACACACCGTTAATATTTAACAATTCGTACCACCCATACGCAGCGCTATTAAGCCGAGCCGTTAGGAAGGATGCACAACAGAGAGGCGTTCTTGATTCAGTGGCTACTCATATTTAATAATAAAATTACACATTTCTTTCCAGTTTAGGTTTACCGTTAAAAGATGCATACATTGTATGACGAAGGCATTTATTCCCGCGGCCTCATTTCCTCAGTCATTCTTGCGGTGAAGCAGAGGTGGGGTACACTGTTAATTGTTATTATGGACGATTTTAATGTCTCAGTCTCACCTCCAAAATGAATTCAAAATGTCATGTACCGCAGACAGCCTGTTTTTGGATATGTATTATACACAAAGGGACACCACAAACGATGAAAAATTACGCTTAATAAGAACAATTCAACCCCCCTCCCACCCTACTTTTCTATACTCGGCTCCGTGATCAAAATGTTTAAACGCCCTGAAAGGTAAAAACTGAAAAACAGTATGTGACTCGGGCAGTCATAAAATGGATCAATTACGCCTAATCTCTTTTTATATGTAATTTCTTTTATGCCGTTTTACAGCAGGTCGCCGCTTCTGTTGTCCGTCGTCAGCGTCCAAAAAGCATCCAAAGTGAAATGCATAACTGTAGCCTATATGAAAAATGTGATGCGTTTAAGATCAACCCACTACAACTAAGTCGAATTCACTTATCATCAAGTACAACCACCACCTTACTCCTGTCATTATATACACTTGACCAAGTAATTATAATGAAAACACATAAAACAAGAACCAAAACTCGTTTCCTCATTTTTGTAAGCAGTGTCACGTCTTTTATTGCACCGACTAGAAAATAATCTAAAAGCCTATGACATATTACACTGTCACAAAGAAAAAAAAATGAAAAAATAATAAAACGCAAAACCGCTAGTAAATATAAAATCACGTCTGCCCAGGCGTGACCGACACAGCAATAACAAACACGCCTCGCCGTCCCCATTAACCCCGCTTACTACGGCCGCCCCTCCCACATGTATATAAGGAGGAACGCGCCGGGGTTTGTACGCATTACATTTTTACTCAGCTCTCCGGCGGTCGCACAGCAAAGCGCGCTACATTCTTCGCCGCTCGGGCATCGCGTAGTACGGCAGTGTACGGGCGGAGTTATACGGCGCTCTGCCTGCGCGTGTGTGCGTGCGTGTGCTTGTGCGTGTGCGTGTGGGGTGGGGGGTGCCGGCGTACTAAAGGCCATGTGAGCGCGGCGCCTCCGCCTCTCCCCGCAGTGAATGACAGCGCACGGCGCGGCGCAGCTGCTCTATCCTGCCCGCCGCCTCTTACGTGCGCGACAGCCGTGCAGGGAAGCGGCACTTTCTCCCACTACGGAATTTACTTTCTTCTACCACTATTTTCTGTGAATTACAAACCGACAAGCTTTTTTTAGAACTGACGTTTCTTTTTGTAATTTTGTCACTTACACGGTAAGAGACTTGACAATATTTCATCTCATAAAATATTGTTACATTTTTATAATTTCATTTTTTTCCCCTTTAATTGATGTTTTATTTAGCGGTCTACGTGGTTTTCGTATTTATTGTCGTTTATTTGAAAATGATGAGTTGCTCTTTGAATTTTTATTTAGTATGTAACGCATGGCTTTTAAATACCGGCGTTTCGCGAGATGTCAGCTTATTGTTTTTGGACGACTCTACTTTTTTACAGTCCACCTCCAAGTTAACTTTATAATCCGCAGCGCCTCGCCGTTTGATACTCCTGCGGCTTTAATATTGATATTTTGTCCGATTTCGTTCTGACTGTACAAATGCATTGCCGGTTATTAATGCAAAACACGCTGATCGTTATGCTTTTCCCTTTTTTGCGGGGATCAGTGCACGTCAGTCCCGGCTGTGCACGTCAACTTTCCCGGCTTACATTTACAATTTCCCTCTTATTAACCCCTCAGGCAGACAGCATGCCGCTCAGCTCCGGTTTGACGAGCACAAACTATGATTACGACTACGACTCCATCCAGCCCTACTTCTATTTCGACACCGAGGATGAGGGTTTCTATTACCAGCAGCACAGTCAGCTCCAGCCCCCGGCACCCAGCGAGGACATCTGGAAGAAATTCGAGCTGCTGCCCACGCCGCCTCTCTCCCCCAGCCGGCGCTCCTCCTTCCCCGGCATCCTGCCCTCGACGGCCGACCAGTTGGAGATGGTCACCGAGTTCCTCGGGGACGATGTGGTCAACCAGAGTTTCATCTGCGACGCAGACTACTCCCAGTCCTTCCTCAAGTCTATCATTATCCAGGACTGCATGTGGAGCGGCTTTTCCGCCGCCGCCAAGCTGGAGAAAGTGGTTTCCGAGAGACTTGCGACGCTCCAGGCTTCCAGGAAGGAGTGCCCGCCGCCGGAGCCCCCCGGTCGGGTGAACGCCAGCTACTTGCAAGATCTGACCACATCGGCGTCGGATTGTATAGACCCTTCTATAGTATTCCCGTACCCGATCACCGAAAACCCGAAACCGAGCCAGGAGACCCCATCTTCATGCTTGCTTTTGGATACCCCGCCCAACAGCGGCAGCAGCAGTAGCAGCAGCAGCGGTAGCGATTCAGGTACGTGTGACATTATTACTAACCTGATGTGGAGCGATCGGTCTGACAATAGCGAAGATCAGTCATGTGGCGATGTTGCGCAAGTTTCCTCGATACGCTGCTCTAAATTAAAGGGGCCCGATGCGGCAGCGTTCAGAGAATTAAAGGGGCAAGGGAGTTAAAAAGCGGCTCCACCCTGGGAATATGCACATATCTATAAATGTCGCTTTAAATTCTCACGTGATGCATTTTTCTATTGCTTTAGAAGAAGAAGAGGAGGAGGAGGATGATGATGATGATGATGAAGAAGAAATTGACGTGGTGACTGTGGAAAAGAGGCAGGCACTTAGGAGGTCTGAGTCGTCAGGGGTGGTCACAAGGCTGCACCAGAGCCACCTCGTCCTAAAGAGATGCCACGTTCCCATCCATCAGCACAACTACGCCGCCCACCCACCGGCGAGGAGCGAGCAGCCTTCCGTCAAGCGGCCAAAGCTGGAGGGGGGCGCCAGGGCACCCAAGCAGATCGGTGGCGGCCGCAAATGCGCGAGCCCGCGGACGTCAGACTCTGAGGACAATGACAAACGGAGGACTCACAACGTGCTGGAGCGCCAGAGGAGGAACGAACTGAAGATGAGCTTCTTCGCGCTGCGGGACGAGATCCCCGAGGTGGCCAACAATGAGAAGGCGCCCAAGGTTTTGATACTCAAAAAGGCGACCGACTGCATTTTCAGCCTGCAGACGGACGAGCAGAGACTGCTTTCATTAAAGGAACAGCTGAGCAGGAGAAGTCAGCATTTAAAACAGAGGCTTGAGCGGCTGAGGAACTGTCAAGGATGCTGAGTTAGATTTATTTGTATTTAAGTCCTTTATTTTTATTAATAAAATATAAAAAAACAGGGCTACATGTTTGTCAGCCTTAACTTAAATATTTGTTATGTTTTGTATATAATATTTACAAAGAAATGTATTTTTGGATTTTAATTGAATGTTCCAGACACGTTTCATGATTGTTCAGCATAAATGTTCTATTCAATCTGAATCATAAATGCATTTCTTTATTGACATTGTGTGACTTATTGATTCCTTACCCTATGACATTCTGAGTTGGTATAACTGTCCAGAAAAGTGTTTAGCTTGGTGCATTTACCAGGTGAGTCTTACTGATGGGAGTACCTTGACCATACGTAATACGTGGTTTCAGAAGCTGTACGTTATAAAATTTTAATCGTTTTCTTTCTGCCTACAGTATTGAGCATTGGCACTTTTTTTTGTTTTTAATACTGATTTTCTAATTCTGAACAGCATGCAGACTGGATCGGAAAATATTGACCCTTTTAAAAACTCTATATGTCTTTTAGTGGATTTCTTAATTTTAGAACTTTCTGGGCCCTTGCACACCAGAGGCCTTACCTTTTAATCTCAGACGGAACAGTGAAGCTCTGTGCTATGGTACAATAGTTCCATCCAACTAGGGAAGGTCTCATTTCCCTTGTCTAAAACTGCAGTATTAACTTCAATCACCAGTATTCATTCACAGCTCAGAAGCAACCAGCACTTTCACCACAAATCAGTATGATCTCTGTGAAGTTAACTGCTAATTTTCTAGCTATAATGCATCTGTTTACCATGTGCCTCAGTGTAAACCAATGTTTACCAACCTTGTCTTCAGGGACTCACAGATGGTGTTTAATCCCCACTGATCAAAAACGTGGACAGTCTGTGGGTCGCTGAGGACTGGACTGAGAAACAGTGGTCTAAACCATTTATATGGCATATTTATATAGCTGTTTTATTGGTGTGATTCAGGTGAAATTCTCCAGGCTGTTACAGTAGAACCACATGCAGAATTCTCCCCCACACAACAGGAAGTTCACATGAACAACTGTAAATACTGGTTTGTTTTGAGATCAACGTCTGTCAGCTTGTTTTCCAGGCATTGACTTAGAGTTAAGCCCGAACATGATCCTTTCCTTGAAACCAGGGACGTTGGTTTGGATAAGATCACATAATTGCTTTTTGTCACATCAGTCTACCTTCAACCTGAAATCGAGGTCTTTGATGGGTTTTTGTTTTGTGAAAAATATAAATACAGTCTAAATGGATATATATATATATACATATATATACACACACACACACACACACACACACACACAAAGGCAGTTGCTTCTGTTTGTTTTATTAGAAAAGTCATATTCCTTTTGGCTTCTTTCTTATATTCGTCTTTAAGATAGTGAACAACAATGTTTGTTCATTTGTTTTTTCATATCCAGGGTTTAGGGAATGATTTTTCATTGGACCAGGTTAGCTTAGGCTTTAGCCTGCTCTTGTTGACACTTTATTTACTACATATACTTGGCATCCCCCACAACTGCTTGGATAGTGAATATGTTTCACCACATTGCAGTTTGCCATTTATACATTGAATGAAGAATATTGTTAATTGATAAGTATCACTGTCCCTCATTGTGTAATTACACTTTATGTGGGAATAATGCAATAATTATTACTGCGGAGATTACAGCTATGCAAGGATCATTTGCCTTTACAGTGTTGATGACTAAGAAGCGGATGGAAAGATGGGGATACTAAAACGTATAGGTTGATTCCTTGCATTTCATCAGTCTTATGGTGTATTTATTTCAGTGTGTGTGTGTGTGTGTGTGTGTGTGTGTGTGTGTGTGTGTAATGAAGGGGAAGTACAAATTTGAGGCGACAAACTTCTGTTTTAGGACAAAGTGACCCATGTGAGTGTTTTATGTGACGCCTTCATCTTCCCCCAGTCATTAACGGGCTGTTGTGCTTCAGCATATAGTTTAACATCTCAGAATGCCTTCATTCCAACTGCTTCAAGTTAACCGACAGGTACTTCATTCATTATGTTTATACCTGTCAGTGCATGCTGGCTTGGACAGCATCCTCAGCAAAATCCACTGCCCCCACCCCCCAGAATGATGACGTGGTGGTGGGCAATATATATATATATATATATAAAATAAATAAATAAAAAAAATTTAAAAAAGAATGGTGACGTAACGATCAAAAATATCAATGCTACTCTTTCTGTTGCTCACCATGTGTACACAAGATACACAGATTATTTCTGAAATTTCCTTCTACAGCCCAGACATAGAGTTAAATTGACTCTTTTGGGATAACTGAACTAAACATGATGCTTAGTACATTTGATGTGAAACGTGGACAATAATATTTAACATAAATATATTTAATGAATATTTAATATTTGTTTAACTATAGCTTTTATCCCTGGGTAAGAGTGACGTCGATTGACCGGTTTTGTAAGTGTACTGAATATATATTGTTTGCTCCTGCAGTGTATTCGGATTATTATAAATCCTGGTGGAAAGTCCTTATTAATACAGAGATTTGGTGGGGATTAGTGGCTGGTATTCCTGGGTAATGTCACGGAGCATTACACACACCCAGCATCAATGGAGACCGGACGGGCATTGCGTCATTTCCATCCTTGTCGCGCGGGATGGAACGCGGTCAGCCCCGCGCGCACTTGTTTCCAAAAAAAAAATCAACTGGGAAATCCCGACAGTTTAAGCTGATTCCTCATGCTATTGTAACGCCGACTGTTTTTTGTTTGAATTAGAAAACAAGGCAAATCCTAACTTAATCTAACTATATGTTTATCTGTCTCTCTGTCTTTCTATCTCAGTTATAATTTCAGCAACTTTGACAAATGAATTCAGAATCAGGTATATCGACCAGTTATGTTCAAATACATAAGAAATTTGACTCCTCTCGATGACTCGACAAAAAAAAAAAAAAGTAAACAAATAAAATAGAAAGAGATTGTGTTGGAAGACAAGATCATATTAATTGCATGGGTGGAAAATAGTTTGCGAATGACTTTTGAATTTGTTGTGTTCATCCCTGTTTTTCATAGCAACCAAAATACCTATGAAACAAAAATAACTGAAACTACTACAGAGTGGAAATTTAAGGGAGCAGGTGGGCTGAGGGTTGAAAGATTAAAATAGCTGTATTTTGGGGTTTAAAAATTCAGTGGAATGCACAAATGTAAATACAAGTTGTAAAAAATTTTTAACCAATTTGTTGTTTTGCCTTATAGTAGTGGCCAAAATAGTGACACGCCTAGGAATTATTTCTAATCAACTGAACTGAAACTGTTTTTAGGGAAAAGCTTTTATTGAGTTTTTAGACAACTCCAAGCTGCAGGATGAATCGTTATGTAAGATGATGGGCTACCTTAGTTTCTTTGGATCTTTAATACGATCAGGATCAGCTGTACATGAACCCCATCGATCCCGGCAGGTGAGAAAGAGCCTCATTCAGGAGCCAAAGATTTAGAAATTACCACCTGTGAGAATTTCAAGAAGTTTTGTAAGACTGACACCTCACCATAACTTGAGCTGTCGGTTTGCTTTCAAGAACAAAGTGAACTGAATTGCTTATAAACACCACATGACTTGAGTTCAATTATACAGGTTAACAGGTCATTTTCATCAGAGGTAATTTTATGTGGGTTTATGTGGGTTATGTAGTATTTTTCATGCTGATTTCAAATCTGTGTTTAGTTTTTCTCTAGCATGTCAGGTTTTTGTGACGAATTAAGCTACATGTAGTATGATATTATGTACATGCAGTCTGCCTAAGTGTATTACAAGAGTCGCCTGTGTTCTTTATCTCATAGACAGCATCACTGTTCTCTAGGTGACTAGATATTGATTTATGTTTTATTGACACTTGTCTAGTTGCGATTTGAGTATAATTAATTTGACCTAGTGCGCATTCCCATGTCTTGTGTATATAACTTAGTTTGGTGGGAAACATAGATAGTTGTGCCTCAGGTGTCGTTTTGCTGACGTAAGCTTCTCGACAAATGTTTTATTATTTCTCGAATTGTTGCAAAAAAAAATACAAAATCTAACTCACCAGTTTGAATTCTGGGTCATCGTCCTGGAAATCGAAGGCAGCGGTGACAGACAGCATCAACTGTGTTGGATTGTAGTTATTATCATGCCTAGAAATTGCATTAATCATTCACACAGTTTCTGTTGTGTGTGTGGTTCATTCACAACGAAAGCACAACGTCGCCCAATCACTGCAGATCTTAAGAAGATATACAAATGATACTTTGGCTGTCCACCTGGAGACCAGGATAAATCTTGGGTTCCACGTGTCATCTGTACCAGTTGTTCAAATGGTCTCCATGACTGGCTAAATCAGCGAAAGGCAGCAATGGCATTTGGAATTCCGATGGTGTTGAGGGAACCGCGAGACCATCTCAATGACTGCTACTTTTGCCGCACGAATACAAGTGGATTCTCAGCTAAAACTAAGCACAAAATTGTATATCCCTGCCTAAATTCTGCCATCAGGCCTGTCCGTCATGATTTATTGCCTGTTCCTATACCGCCACATGATGGTCTTGATTCTGTAGAAGGTGATGAGGAGTACGGAGAAGGTGCAGCTGGTTACAGTGAAAGCATGATGGCCGACTTCTGCTGGATGCTGTACCGCGACAATCCAGACATGATGTACACAAGAAGATCAAACTCAAAGCGTTTTTGAAGAAGCAATGGTGGTTAACAAACACTTTTCAATTTCTTTATGCCCACTGTCTGTTTATTTCATTTTGCTCTAAAGAATATTTTACCCTATACTACAGTGATGCTTTTGTTTTAGTACACAATACTTACAATTACGGTATTAACTAGCATTACTCATAAATCAAAAAGTTGACATGACAGAAAAAAACTGAAAACAGATATGAATCAGCGTGAAAAACTGATTTGGAAAAATGTGTTTTGGTCTCTGATGATTTAAAAAAATGTTTTTTTGTTGTCCTGTGTTATTTATCATTTATCAGTTGCATAAGATGACTGAAATGAAATGACTTTCCAATTAAATGTTCTTTCTCAACTTAAAATTTGAGTAAATTAAAAAAAAAAATGCATATACAGTAGTACAAAAGTGCAGCATTATGTTAAAAATGATGCTGCTTCATTGCCACTAAATACCTGTGAAATGTGTGCTGCTTTGCAACCCAAAGTACAGTGTGTGGAAGCAG